TGTGGTTCGTTGTGTCGCTAGGTGCTCAATCCCCCGCTTTGCCAACCCTAATTTCCCTGGTTTTCCATTCTGCACCCTTGGTGGCCTTCACTGATCTCAGGAACGAAGTGAATGAAAATGGAGCCTTTCAGAAAGGGGCAGCAAAACCACCTGGACCCACAGCTTTCTGACGGGAGCGCTCGGTCTCGCGGGTGAAGTGCCTGAGGTCTTTGTGACCTGAGCTATGCAGTCCAGTTGCATGGTGGTCCATCAAGACCAAATCTGAAGGATGGAGAAATGGAGTAGTGGCCTGGAGGTGGGCGTTTGCCGCCACTGGGGATGCGGCCGAGTTCAGCAGACAGTGAAGTGATTTTATCTAGAAGAACTGATGCAGTAGATGGGGGAGGTGTGTGTGCAGAGACTTAAGGTGTATGTGCAATTTAAATTACACGAGGACAGTATGCACCATACGAAGGGTAGAGAGGAAAGAGCAGGTTCATCAAGACTGTCAAATTCAAGAAGTGCTGGCTTTTTCGAAGGGATAACAGAATCATAGAATCATAGAATCACTTTGGTTGGAAAAGACCTTTGAGATCATCGAGTCCAACCTTTAACCTAACCCTGACATCCCACCACTAAACCATGTCCCTAAGCACCTCATCTATCCTTCTTTTAAATACCTCCAGGGAGGAGGACTCTACCACCTCCCTGGGCAGCCCATTCCAGAGCCCGACTACCCTTTTGGTGAAGAAGTTTTTCCTAATGTCTAGCCTAAACCTGCCCTGGCGCAGCTTCAAACCATTCCCCCTTGTCCTATCATCTGTTACCAGGGAGAAGAGACTGACCCCCACCTCCCTACAGCCTCCTTTCAGGTAGTTGTTGAGGGCGATCAGGTCTCCCCTGGTTGGCAACTAGGTAGCTTAATTTTCATTAACTAGGGGAGTCAACAGTGTAACTGTGTTACAAAAGCCACTTCCAGGTACTGTGTAGATGCAGTTGCTAAGTGTCCTTGTAAAGATACCTACTCCAAAAGTTAATCATGTAAAAATTAAGTTAGAAACTGTTAGCAAAACAAAGACCGTATTGTCTAACTGAAAAAAAAATCTCCTTGTTTCAGATTTTCTCCCCTTTGTATGTGATGGCTGTTCAGGTGTCTTCTGGTAAGTTCATAGAATCATAGAGTATCTCAAGTTGGAAGGGACACATAAGGATCATTGAGTCCAACTCCCTGCTCCTTGCAGGACTACCTAAGACTAAACTATAAGACTAAGAGCATCATCCAGACGGTCCTTGAACTCTGACAGGCTTGGTGCCGTGACTGCTTCCCTGAGGAGCCTGTTCCAGTGTCTCAGTGAAGAACCTTTTCCTAATGTCCAATCTGAACTTCCCCTGACGTAGCACCCTTCCATCTCCTTGTGTCCTATTGCTGGTCACCGGAGAGATGAGGTCAGCAGCTCCCCTTCCACTGCCCCCCTTGAGGAAGTTGTAGATTGTGATGAGGTCACCCCTCAGCCTTCTCTTCTCCAGGCTGAACAAACCAAGTGACCTCAGCTGCTCCTTGCAAGTCTTTCCCTCAGGACCTTTCACCATCTTGGTCACCCTCCTCTGGACACACTCTAATAGTCTGATGTCCTTATGCTGAGGCGCAAAACTGCACACAGTACTTGAGGTGGGGCCACACCAGTGCCATGTAGGGTGGGACAATCACCTCCCTTGTCTGGCTAGTGGTGCTATGTTTGATGCACCCCAGCACATGGTTGGCCCTTTTGGCCGCCAGGGCACACTGTTGACTCAACTTGCCATCAACCCAAACCCCCAAATCTCCGCAGGGGTGCTCTCCAGCCTCTCAGCCCCGTTTGTATGTGTAACCAGGATTACCCCATCCCAGGTGGAGAAACCAGCACTTGCTCTTGTTAAATGTTATCCAGTTGGTGACTGCCCAGTTCTCTAGTTTATCCAGATATCTCTGCAAGGGGTCTCTACCCTCGAGAGAGTCCAAAGCTCCTCCTAGTTTACTATCATCAGCAAACTTAATGTACATTTGATTCTTGTGACCAGATCATTGATAAAAACATTAAAGAGCACTGCCCCTTAAATTGAGATCAGGGGAACCCCACTGGTAACTGGCCACCAGCCTGATGTAACCCCATTTACTATAACCCTCTGAGGCCAACCAGTTGGCCCATTGCACACTCAACAGGCTTGTCTAGCTGTGCACTGGATATTTTGTCCAGAATACTGTGAGAGATAGTGTCAAAAGCTTTGCTAAAATCCAAAACCACCACATCTGCTGGGTTCCCTAGGTCAACTAGGTGGGTCACCTTGTCATGAAAGGAAATTAAGTTGGGTTTTTGGTTTGGTTTTTTTTTTTTTTTTTGTAAGATCTCAGTGCGGCAGTTGTGTAGGCCTAAATGCTGTATAAGACATTCTGTGACTCAGTTCAGATACATCCAGTTAAAAATAATTGTTTCATTTTTCCCAAGTGGCTGCTGTGGAGCTTTGAAATCAGTGGGATTATCTTTAGAATACAGGTAGATTATTTTGGAAGGCGTCTAACTTAGACCCTGTTTTGTACTGATCTTTTTTTGGGGGGTGGTATTTTTTCATGTAGAAAAACCCCAGAAGTTTCTTCCAAGGTTCAGATCAGGGCCTGCACTTTGATCTACACTTCAGCGGGGAGCTGAGATAAACTCAGATAGACTGCGGGCAGATTTCACTTTTAACATGTTAGAAGCCTTCAAGGGATTTCCACTGTTGTGGAAGGTGATTCAAAATCCATTAAAACAGACAAACTCCAGTTGCTTTGAGCTGAGTTTTTAAGCACGCTGATGTCCTTATTCTCTTGGGATGATTTCTTGTCTTGGGGCATAAGTTCCAAGAGCTAAATGGTTTACATACTTGGGAAGAATACGACTGGTCCATTTGAGATGTGAAATGCATAGGTTAGAACAAATTTTGGAGAAGATTCATTATTTAATTGAAGTGTTCCCATGATGAAACTTGTCAGATCACTCTTTAAACACTTAAATGTTTTCACATGCAGTTTTGTTTTCCTGAAATGTTGATAACGGTGTGATATTTTCTTCTTTTGCCATAAAGCCTTCAGCACAGAAGCCGAGATGCTCATGGGTGTTCTGAGGTAATCTAATAATGTCAGACTACCTTAAAATAAAGATTCTGTGCAACTTAACTGTGTATTTTCAGATTAGATACATACACATAGTATATAAGTATGAATTATTTAACTGAGAATGTGACAAGCTTAAAAAAATGAACCTACTCTTTTTCTGCCTGTCAGAAGTAAATTGAGTTTGAGTAGGATGATGGTTCTTTTTCTAACTCTGAGCTAAACTTAACCAGGACAAAGCAAGAGAGAATCACTGGACTAGTTTTGCTCCTAGAATGGAAAGCTAGCATAGTTCTTTTGGAAAGCTGGGGCGGTGACTTGTATCTGTAATGTCTGTTTATTTACGGAAAATATTTTTTATTAATGCCTAGGTGAATATAAGAAACAACTCTGTGAAACCAGATCAGCACAGATCTTACCCATGCTCATACAAGGACTGCAAGGGAAAGGAGCTTTTGCCAGTTTTATGCCCCTACTGTGAAAAACATTTTTGTCTAAGGTGAGCAGAACAGAGTATTTAAACATCAGTGCTCATTCATTAGTGTATGGAAAAGGTAATAAAAGTTTTACACTGTTGTTTACAGACACCGGCATCAATCAGACCACGAATGTGAGAAACTGGACACGCCAAAACCTCGAATGGCTGCCACCCAGCAGCTTGTTAAACATATTCTAGGCAAGTACAGTGGGATATATATTCTACAGTTTTCTTCAGAAGGCTGTTTGAGTTTATGACCTTCTCTGAGAGTTCAGGTTTGACCAAATAAGAAGAAAGGATGGGGGTTCCTTGTTTAAATAGCCCTAAACTCACATGTCAGCATGTAATACTGTTCACCTAGACTGAGACAACAGTAGCATATGTCCATAAAGAGAATCTTTGAAGATTAAATAGTGCTCAGGTTTCTTTCAGAATTATTGTCTTGTTCTCATTCTACAAGTACTATCATGTAATTAATTCTACTTAGCCATTATTATTTGCATGTTGATTCATGTGCAAATAATGCAGTTGTACTGTACTGGGTGCACATGCCAATCTGCTGGGATTATATCTACACAACCAAGCTGGCAAAAAAGTGTGAGTCTACAAGGTAATGTTTTGCAGCTTCTAAACAAGATCTAGGACAGGAAAGAGAATACACAGCACTTCCTAACTGGACAGTGGGGGTTATGTGTAGAAAGGAGGACCTGAAACTGTTGCCATATGAATGCTGTGGTAGTCACTGGTGTAGAAACTTAGGAATTTGTATCTGTTCAGATTTTGCAACCTGTGTTTACCTCATAATAGCGTTCATCTACTTCTCAGTGTAGAAGAGTGCTGTTAGGACTGTAACAATTCCAGATGTTATTGAATAGGAGTACCTTATATCATGGCCTCAGGAGGACATGAAAGGAATGGGAACCTTGGAGATATAATGAGGCCCAATAGGCTAATTCTAAGGTATGTTCAGGAGACAGTCTGAAACATCCCACTAACAGGATTAATATTGTTCTCAGATTCCAAAAAAAACGAGGAAGCAAAAAGCAAAAAACATAAAGGAGCAAAAAACAATGAGACAGCAGCAAAAGTGGCATTAATGAAACTGAAAATGCACGCATGTGGGGACAAGTCCTTGCCTCAGGTCAGTCATGTTTGTTTTCAATAATTGAATTCACAAATGAAATGCTAAGTTTTCTAAATTTCTTGTTCTTCATCTAGTTCCCCCAGTTTGCATTAGGATTTAATTCTTCAAGCCCACAATCATTTATACATCTATATCAGCCTCGTACCCCAAACCAATCTCACTAGCCTTATGTCTGTTACAAGGTGTCTGTGTAGAGTTCTGAGCAGTCAGGTCAAATTCCTTTATTTTGTATCAGAAATGTATTTGCCTGCCATATGGCTGTCACCCAACACTGCGGGGACAGGCAGGCTCTTTTGGGGATCCTTGGCAGAATGGTAACGGCACTAAGTTGCAGTTACAATTAAAGCTTTTCATCATTACCAGGGGTCAGGAGCAGGGGGTGCCAGTCACACCCCATGCCTTGACACCATCATGAGCAGGGAAGGATGTCAGTGGTGGTGGTACCGTCACCTCTTGCCCACAGCCCACAGCTTAGCAACGGGTTCATAAAGAGGACCCCATGGCACCAATGGGCTGTGTGCTATCCGAAGGCTGTTCATCCGAGGGGTGATGAGAGTGTAAGACATTGATTTTAGCAATTGATATGCTTAAATATTTAAAGTAAGATACAGCACAAAATAACATAATTCCAACAGCTATAACAAGAGTTATTATTAACAAAATGCAGTGGGGCCGTGTTCCGTAGTCAGGTAGCCAGGACCATGGTCAAAACCAGTCAGCAGGCAGACCTTCTAACAGGAGTTGTTCTTGAGCTATTTGCTGAAAAGTACGAACTTGTCATTGAATGATTTTTATATGATACTCAATTTGTTTAGATCCGTTAGTACAAAAACAAGGGGGTTTTAACAGTATACATATACCTCCTTGTGACACTAAAAGATAATCTAAGGCCCAATGATTCTGAATTGCTAATTGTGAAAGTGAACTAATTTCTGATAGCAAACATTTTTTAAAGCATTTACAGTAGCATTTTGGACACTTTCAAGTGTAGCAGAAATATTTACAATAGCTCTTTCCATCTCATCAGTACTTAAACTTGGAAACAGTGCATGCATAAATTGATGAAATTTTGTCGTTCTTTGTACCAAGGGATTGATCACAACACACTACATACACGTAAATGATTGTGTAAAAAGGTAGAAGTTAATTTTTTTTCTTGAAATGCATGGGGAACAAGACACAATGTGGTACTAGTACCTGTCTATTGTGATGGCAGACTTTCATAGGCATTTGTGCCACCGGCCCAGAACCATCCGGATGCTGGAATGGTGGGCCACTGATTTGGTACTGGAAATTTCTAGGGAAACATTCCTCACACCGTTGATGAGCCTCTTCCATTGTCAGGGTGATCAACTGTAAGCTGGTGAGTGTGGCTCATTCAAATGATGTGAAAAAGGTTGGTGTATATACAGTCAGATGTGTTATTCCAATTGCAGATGGTCCAGTTGTCATTAGTTCTTAACCAACCATTACTCTGTAGAATGTAGCATTAGGACCAGTGAAATTATAGTATCTTTGGTAAAATGTGCCATTAACAGTCCATGTGAGATTCCAGGGTGGCGAAATATTTAAAACAGTATTATTTTTAATCACTGATTTGTTTTTACAGATCCATGTGGTTCTTAAATTGGATTCATTACCAACTCTGGTTCGATTATAGTGTATCAGCTGAAACTGAGTTTGTGTCTGATTGTAAAGCCGGGTATAATCACAGTTGCTTGTTTTTCCCACCCAGGTTGAATTTGTATGTTTGGGCATTGCAGTGCACCATAGGTTGAGTTTGATAATTTGAAGGGTTGGGGACTGAGTATGCCAACATAGATTGGTTCCAAGATGTTTCAGGAGCAGGTTCAGCTACCCACCCAGAATTAGCATCTGAAGATGAGGGTGGTGTAAACAATACCAACAGTTTGATTCACTACCCATTTGAGAAATGATGTTCACGAATTGAAGTGACACGATTATCATCCCATTCTTGCAATAGGGAGGCAGAGGGTACAAATAAGGGTAAGTACAATACAGTGGGTGTTGTGGTCATCTTTTTACAGCTGAGGTTTCCATGAAGGTAAAGTGATGATTCCTTGGGCACACTCTAGGTTTGTCAGGCCAAAGAATCTGTCCCAAATGTAGTTCATTATCTGAAGCAGTAAGAAATTACTCAGTCATGGGAATTATCCAAGCCTCAGTGAAAGTTAAAAGGGAATCCCCATTTAGAAACAGTTTTCCATAAGCCCTTTTCTCAGGGAGTTGGTAAAGTGACAGATATTTTAACCATCAAAGGGTAGTTAGTAAGAACAGTGTCACCCTGAGAAAAATGACAGGCTGACAGTGGGGATTTTAGATGGTTTATGGGTTGGAGAGCAGGAAAATGAGCTTGTGCCACTGGGCATCTGGTGGGTGTCTGCCAGTTATTTAAGCATCAAATAGCTTTAGGTAGGGGTTTACACCATTTTCCTGCATATAAACTTTGCCCTAGAGCTCATTTTAGTAGACCATTCCACGTCTTGACTGTGCTGTTACTTCGGGTTGTGGAGGACAGGTGGAACACCCAGGCAACTCTCTGATTTTCACACCATTCCTGGAAATTGCGGGGGTTTTTTAAATGAGTGCCATTGTCAGACTGCACAGCAGAGGGCGTGGGAGTGTCAGCAAACCATGTATTAAATCCTCCCACAGTGCTAAGACCATCAGCTTTCCTGCAAGCAAAAACTTTCCCTAAGCCTGATACTATTTCAACTCCAGTAAGGATAGAACGCCACCCCTCGGGTGTTCAGGGGAATGGCCCAATATAATCACTTTGCCAAGTGGACATGGGGACTTATTTCCTAACCCATGTCCATTTGGTCCCCAAAAAGGTGACCTCCTGGCTGGTGCCCCGGCATTGTTTCTTCACCAGTTGTTTCAGTAGTCCAGTTAGTGTTGCCCTGTATCCAACTCGCAGAATATCCATACCAATTTTATTTAGGTTTCTAGTTGCATTTGCTATTTTTGGGGAATAGGGGAAGGCAAAAGGGAAGTTCCAATTTTACCTTCATAATTGACTAAGGAACCACTGCTCCATTTATTCCAATTACTAGTATTTTCTGATGTTTCAGAGGGATAGCTCCAGGGCATGATTCTGCTTTAATCATGAATGGTTGTGCTCCAGTATCTATGAGGAAATTGGTCTTTAATTTCTTGTTTACCGTGGCCCAAAGGGTGGGACCTGGTACTCAAGTGGCAGAGGGTAGGGCCACTTGTACCTTTGCCAGCCCAAGCCCCTTGTCTTTCCCTGATACTGCCATCTGATAGGAGATAAGTAGTAGGGCCACTTGTACCTCTGCCAGCCCAAGCCCCTTGTCTAATTTCCCTGATACTGCCATCTGATAGGAGATAAGTCAGGATATTTTTGTGGTTTAAAGGGGTTTCCATTTATGGGAGGGGCACTAAGTAGAGGTGTGGATAGCTTTTCCTCCTTTTCCCCTTCCTTTGCTAGCAATCATAGTTTTCTGGTAGGCAAACCATGGAGCAAGTCACCAGTGTACCCCTGATTTATGCAGGTACACCACTGTCGTGGTTTACCCCGGCTGGCAACTCAGCACCACGCAGCCGCTTGCTCACTCCCCCCCTCCCTCTGTGGGCTGGGGGTGGGGAGAGAATCGGAAAGAAAATAAAAGGTTAGAGCTGAGGGCTGAGATAAAGACAGTTTAATAAGAGAAAATAATAATAATAGTAATAATGAGAATGATAACAGAATATACAGAATATACAAAACGAATGAGGCACAAGGCAATTGCTCACCACCCGCCGACCGATGCCCAGCCCGTCCCGAGCCGCCAGCAGTCCCCGAGCCGCGAGCAACCGACTGAACGGAACGAACCGACCGAACTAACTAACCCCCCCCCGAGCATGACGTTATATGGTATGGAATAGCTCTTTGGTCAGTTTGGGTTAGCTGTGCTAGCTGTGCTCCCTCCCAGCTTGTTATGCACCTGGCCGAGCAGGAGAAGCTCAAAAAGTCCTTGAGCAGTCTCAGCACTACTTGGCAACAGCTGAAAACATCAGTGTGTTATCAACATTCTTCTGGTACTAAATCCAAAACACAGCACTATGCTAGCTACTATGAAGAAAATTAACTCTATCCCAGCCGAAACCAGGACAACCACCACTTGTTTCGCTCAGATCATGCACTTTCAGTTTGATTAGGAAGTCTTCTAATATTGCTTATTTAAATTGGCCTGATGGCTGTATGGGGCACTTGTTCAACCTCCAGCTGGGACTGAGGTATTAGGACCCAGCACTGCTCCCTTCGTATGGGAGGGTCAGTGCTTCATTCTTGTATTTGTGGAGCACTTGTGAAAAAGGGATTTCTGCAGGTAAACCCTGGCATATTTGCATAAAGATTAATTTCTGTGATCCTGCGGCTTCTTTCCCTTCCCACCTCAGACCTCAAATCAGGGATGTAGCAGGAACGTCCCAAGGATGAGGTTCATCACCTGGGGCTTTGGCTCAATGTAATAAGATTATAATAGCTGCTCATAATTATGCTTCCTGCAATTCATCTGGACCTGGCCAAGGAACTGTAGGTTCCTCGCTCCGATCTTGATAGTGGACCCCTCTTGCCCACTGAATATCTAAGGTCCATAAGGGTCAAGCAACATTCCCTCAGAGGGTGAGAAAAATTCCAGGACCTAAATTGAAGTCTTTTTTCTCTCCTGCAAGCAGAGACACTCTTGCTGCTTTATCATGCCAGAGGTGGCACAAGCATTTAGTTATTGACTGCCCAGGTCATTTTTGGTATGTTGCCTGAACTTTTCACAGATAATCCATATTAAAATCTCAAATGCTAGTAGTATCCCTTCTCTGCAGGTTGTTCCCCTGTGGGTCTATCCGTAGTGACTTCTTGTTTAGTCAGGGGTTGTATTGGTACAGAATCAATTACTTCCTCACCAGATTCATCTGGGCTGTCCCAAATGTCTCCAGCACCATTATACATTGCTACACAGACCTTTACAGGATCTATATCGCTACCTTTTAACAGTTTTTCATTATGTTTTCTTGCTTTTTGTATAACTTTTGCCACTAATTGTTTTTCAAGAGACACTTTTTCCAGACTATCAGCCTTTAATTTGATTATACTAATTCTAAATCCTTCGCTGACAATTCACCTTTCAGCTTCGTAATTTCCTCTTCTAACTTTTCAACTTGCGCGTTCTCAATTTTCTGTACTGCGGCTAATAGCCAGCACATTCCTTCCTTCTCTCCGTCCTTCACTTTACACACATCCTTCCAGGCTTATTGCCTCTAGCCACTTGTTGTCCCACTTGGGATCTTGCCATCTATTTTCTGTAAACCCCTTTCTCCAGGAGTCCCATTTATCAGGGAGATCAGTCATTACTCTGACCCAAGGATTCTGCCAACTACACCAATTTGTTCTGTCACCCAACACTGCGGGGACAGACAGGCTCTTTTGGGGATCCCTGGCAGAATGATAATGGCACTAAGGTGTAGTTACAATTAAAGCTTTATTATTTTAACAGAATTTGATGATTAGCATAGCATAGAATTTTATGATCAGAGTAGCATGGGATTTTTATAATCAGAATCAGCACAGCACAATGATATAAGTAGAGTAGCACAGAATTTTATAGCACAGCTTAGCTTATGCTTCCTCATCACCTGGACCCTCTCCAGATCAGGCCAAATCTTAATACTTGGCTTGCAGTATCAGTATCACAGTCATCATCTAGACTCGAAACATGCAAAAGAGTAAAAGTCACTCAGTCAGTCCTCAGAGGAAGCAGACGATGGTGGAGGCGTCCCTGGCTACCAAGGATCACAGGGTTTGCATTCCAGTAGCGGTTCTGGTTCAAGTCCCACTTTGGGCTTGTAACTGCTTGATTTTATGGACAGTGTATCGTGTTCTGCTGGGCTTCCCTGTTCCGTGACGGCGTTAGCACCACCAGGTTGGCTGGGTGCCTGGGACCTTTGAGGGCAGCAAGGAGGGGAGTAGTTGGCCTGGTGCCTAGGGACCTTGGGGCCGATAGGGAGGGGGAGAAGAAGTCTGTCTGGTGCGTAGGACCTTCAGGGCCGTCAGGAAGAGGGGAGAGGGGACTGGTACGTGACCAGCTTGGTCACAGCGAATGGCCATTTGCCATATAAGATGGCGTTAGTTATGCTAACCATATTACCAGGGGTCAGGAGCAGGGGGTGCCGGTCATGCATGGCAAACCCATCTCAAAGGGATGCTTTTCATGCTGGGTACTGAGAGGCTTCTGACACAGACAGGACACAGCTTGCACAGCTCTGTACCAGTCAGATTGAAGCTGTCTCATATGAAACTGAGCTTTGTGTTCGGTAAAGCTCCATTCTTATTTCTGCTACTCAGATTTAATGGATATGTATTACATTTCTGGATGAGGTATGGAGTGCCTGAGGTCAGTTCTTCCTACCTTTGAGCTGGAAAAGGGTTTTGACTGTTGCTTTATGTTTCTTTCAGCCTTTAATTTTCTTTGATTCTTGAAGTATTTCACAGATTCTTTTTTTTTTTTTTACTGTCATGGCCAGTCAAACCTGGTGTTCAAGTCTTTTCCACATATCAGGATTATGTTGGGTTTTAGAAATACCTTGATTCTTTCATCTTGGGTTTCACTTTAGGTCTGTACTTATGCATCCTCTTAAAAAACCTGTATTTAAATTACTTCTCACAACATTGTTATGTTGGAGCACACCAAGTTTGGGCCTGTTAGATTGATTTTATAATACTGAAAACATTCTATGTGATAGTCTTATTGTTAGTTCTTATCTTAGTAATTTAATTACTGTTTTTAAACCAACTACAGCTATTCCATTAATGAGTACGCTTATAAATTTCTTTTTCTATACTTTGTCATGCTTAGAAATTAGATAACTCTGCTTAGGCCGAAGTCATAATACAAAGACCTGCTTGTAGCTTTCTTCACAGATAGTACCACTTTAATGAATATGTGCTGGAGCAAAAGTGATTATTTTCAAATATTGTGGAACATAATTAAAAAAACCCACCCTCAATATATAGAAGAAAATTTTAAAGGTTGCTTCCTAATTCCAAAGCCAGTAAGTTCTAAAAAGTGTAGCACAAATTACAGTATGCTAATTTCTCTTACTATTCATTATCTCATTTGGATATTAATTGTTCAATCATCTAGAATAGCAATAATTCTAACACTGATAAATTAAGCCTGTTAACCTTCAGCACCTCTCTATTTAAATTGCTTCCTAGACTCCTTCTAGCTGCCTTCTGTTCAGCATGTTCCACTTTGATGACAGATGTTTTTGAGTATGATGTTTCTGGCATGCCTCCTTAGGCACATTAGTTCTCTAATCACCGTGTAGAGAAGATTGACACATTTTTCTTGGAGGCACACAGCAAAAGGACAGGGGGCAATGGATGCAAGCTGCAAGCATGTGATAATAGGAAGAAAAATCACAGTGTGTGTGGTCAGACTTCAGAACAAGCTGCTCCGAAAATTTGTGGAATCTGCATCTTTGAGATATTCAAAACTTGATTGAATCTAACTTGGAGCAACCTGGTCTATCTTTACAGTTAGGACCAGCTTTAAAGTTCCCCCTGCTTTGAGCATGGTTTTGGACCACATGACACCAGAGATCCTTCCTGATCTTTCTTATGCTATGATCAGATAAATCAGGCTATCTTAGAAATACCTTTTCTCTGGCCTCTTTGTCTAGACTAGCTTTCTGCAGATGACTGCTTCTTTTGGTGTCAGACCCTGATATGTGTTACCCCTCTTGCGACTGACCAGCTCGAAACAGGAGGGCCATGCTGCAAAGTAGTGTTAGTTACTGTGTCCCTGACTGACCGGTATTTTTTTGCATATGTTTGCGACTGACCAGCTCAAAACAGGAGGGCCATGCTGCAAAGTAGTGTCCCTGACTGACCGGTATTTTTTTGCATATGGCACAGAAGTTCCAGGAGACATATCCCATAGTCAGGGATGCAACAGTAGAATGAGCTGTTTTGTGAATTAGGCTCCAGTGAACTGTGGGAGACTGTCTCATCATCCTTAGAACTGGAGGAGCAACTGTAGGAAGGTGCTGGGGTGCTGACAGCAGTTGAGTGATGTTAGTGTGCGTCCATAATAGGATGGCCGTTGTGTTAGCTCTTGTACAAGTTGTGGTCATTTACATTTTAGCAAGATTCAGGCCCTGCTTCCCTTGCCCCTTTGTAATATTCCTGGACGTTAAAGATTTTCTTGTGTGGGGAGAGCACTCAAGTTTTGAGGAAAATGCACAGGTTGAAATTCAGACTCAATTTTATGAACATAACTGGGGGAAGGGTAGTTCCATATTTTTCTAGGGAAGGCATAAATCCTTTGAAAAGAAGATTTCTGTCTTGTTTGATAGTGTCTGGCTTGGACTCAGCAAGCGCGGTCTTAACAGACGAATATACTGGTCATGCTTGCTCTGTGTCTTCTGCTGAATGTCAAGAAGAAATAAACCTGAAGAAGGGATTGTCCTAATCCCATTCAAAATCTCTCCCTCATAGGTTACTCTTGACATTTCTTAAACAAATGTTTCAGTCTAGTAGATATCAAACGAGCATTTAGTACATAAAAGGAGGAAATACAGGATAAAGGATTAGCTGGCCATGACTGGGATGTTGGTTTGTGAAGCAGGCATTTCCAGTACAGTGAATTGTTCTGTTTTAACCACCTTTGCATTCCAATTTGAGACATTATACTGCTGCCAAAAGCCAGCACTGCTTTTTTAAACTCACCTTTTTCTCCCCAGAGCAGTCATTAATGTCTAGTAAATCCAGGGCAGACACCTTTTCATATCTGTCTTTATGTAACAGCCTAGCTGTGGGACTCTGGCGGAAGATGTTCTCTCCACCTTTCTGAACTTACTGTCCATCATATATGTGCCTGCAGCTGGAGGGGATTGGACTTGATGGTCTCAGTCATTTATATTCTGCAGTAAAATGGGGCCTTGGTCCTGATGGAATAGAACAAGTTTCCTTTGGTAATTTTTGGGTTGAAGTTTAAGTTTCTTACTGGAAAACTATTATGTGTATGACTGGAATTCTGTGTTTCTTCTGTGCATAATTTTTTGTTTATTTTTCATGTTTTTCTAGGCAGAAAGAATTTACTTTCAAGTATTTTTACCAAAGGGGAACAAAGAGAAAAGCAAGCCGATGTTCTTTTGCAGTAAGTGGAGTATTGGCAAAGTAGTAGATTTTGCAGCTTCCTTAGCAAGCCTTAAAAATGACAACAACAAATCAACATCTCAGGTAAACCAATAATAATAACAAACATTTTCCAGGTTGTTGGGGTTTGATTTGGGGTTTTTTTTACCCTTTTGTCCATCCCCCACCTCACTTCTTACATCTCAGATCGGCAAATCTTGATGTTAATTTCTGTGCTATTTGTCTTACAGAAGTTGCGCTTGTGCCATACTGCCTCTGGAGAAGCCTTGCCGTTTGAGCACACATTGGAAACGTGGCTATCTGATAAAGACTATCCATTGTACAATGGTGGAAATATAATTTTGGAGTATCTTGATAATGATGTTCTATTCATAGAAGATACAGAGTCATACTTTAGTTAATCAGTAAATTATTACAAACAAAAAAAAATTTTTTTAGAAGTGTGGTATTCAAACCGAGTCCAGTTCTCTTTTAAAAATCATTGGTATGCCAGAATCTGGCCTCAGTTCTAAAGACACAGCTCCCATCAATTTCTCAATTGCTTGACTGACAGAAGAACTATGTCCTGAAAGGAAAATCAGTTATTATAGTAACTAATATTACAGATATTTGCTTTCTGGAATAAATTCTTGCTTTATTTAGCTGTATAATGTAATAATGTCTTAAATTTTGTGTTTATTTTTGTGTAAATGATGGGAAAAGTATGTATTAAAATCAAATAATGAAAAATGCAGTGTATCAGTTCTCTGAAGGAAAGAAACACGTTACACTATCGCAGCATCTTTCCTACATCTACAAGAACAGATCTCATTGAGTGTGGAATCCGGCACTGTCTGTGCCCCAGGTCCACATGTTCTTCGCTCATTATAGTGTAACAACATTTAGAAGGAAAGCTGTCTGAAACAAATGCAAATTCACTGTCCTGGTTTCAGCTGGGATAGAGTTAATTTTCTTCATAGTAGCTAGCATAGTGCTGTGTTTTGGATTTAGTACCAGAAGAATGTTGATAACACACTGATGTTTTCAGCTGTTGCCAAGTAGTGCTCAGACTACTCAAGGACTTTTTGAGCTTCTCCTGCTCGGCCAGGTGCATAACAAGCTGGGAGTACAGCACAGCTAGGACAGCTAACCCAAACTGACCAAAGAGCTATTCCATACCATATAACGTCATGCTCGGGCGGGGGTGTTGGTTAGTTCGGTCGGTCAGTCAGTCGGTCGCGGGGAGACGGCTCGCGGCTCAGGGACTGCTCGCGGCTCGGGACGGGCTGGGCATCGATCGGTGGGTGGTGAGCAATTGCATTGTGCATCACTTGTTTTAGATATATTCTGTATATTCTCTTACTATTATGTTAGTGCGGTCGGTTGGTCGGTCGGTCGCGGGGAGACGGCTCGCGGCTCAGGGACTGCTCGCGGCTCGGGACGGGCTGGGCATCGATCGGTGGGTGGTGAGCAATTGCATTGTGCATCATTCGTTTTGTATATTCTGTATATTCTGTTATCATTCTCATTATTACTATTATTATTATTTTCTCTTATTAAACTGTCTTTATCTCAGCCCTCGGCTCTAACCTTTTATTTTCTTTCCGATTCTCTCCCCCGTCCCACTGAGGGAGGGGGCAGTGAGCGAGCGGCTGCGTGGTGCTGAGTTGCCAGTCAGGTTAAACCACGACATTCACACAGATGTCTTTCTTGTGTTTGTAAACCTCAGCATCGCTGTGTGATTAGGTGGGGAATAAAAAGAGAATTTTAAATTCTCCTTTTCTAATTCTTGTGTAAAAGAGGAAGAAATATGGTAAGAGAGGAAGAAATACAGTTCAGCTAGAAGCACAGCATTCACCCGCTTGCAGTTCCATCCTGGCATTTCCGACCTTAGGTAAATCTCTATAGTTTCCTCTTCAGCAGTCTGCAAGATGGACTTACTAGTCTTAAAGCGGTTGTTTACAGTGATTGTATATAAAGAAGTTACACCTCTGGGTGCCTAAGTGTGACCTATAGAATTACTGGCTTTCTCAGTTGTCAGTGTCTTGAAATTGTCTCTCCACAGATAGACTGAATGTCTACATTGTTCAAAACTGTCAATGCAGTGCATTTCAGGGGCATTGTCCTGCCATTGCAGGACATACATAGAAGCGGGGAGAAGCTCTGTGGGGAAGGCAGGGGACATAAGGGTAAGGAATATCGCTAGTCCTGTGAGAAGCGGAGTTTCGGTTCGGAGAGCAGACCTGAGGCAGAGGAGTGTACTCAGACCTGCAAGTGGTCACCTGGGCATTCACAAAGCTGGATTTGGTGGTTTGGCTCATTCAGTTACCGTGTCCACTAACTGAGGAAAAATGTCCAGGTTTTCTCTAGTATGTACTTGCCTAAAGGGAACCTCTGGCTGTAATGCTAGATTCTGGTTAATTTGTACCAGTTTGAAAACAAAGAGATAGCCCTGCATGATGTACCCGTTCTAGGCACAGGTGCAATAATTTAAAAAAAAAACCCTCACATTATAAGAGGAATCTGCCTAGCATCTTTTTCAAAGGTACTCTCCATTGGCAGAACAGCAACGTGGTCTTGTTCAACTGGCTGCAAAGTATCCTGGTTTTCTGTAGCACAACTTTATAACAACTTAGGAATATCTGTAGGATTGCTATACATTGATGGGACTTGCATAAAACCCCAAAACATCTCAGTAAGCGTGTCACTGTTAATTGTTTTTATTCTGCTTTACAGTCCTCTTTACTCTAGTTTTAACATGACTTAGGTGTTGATAAACTATTTTACTGGATGTGGTGTGGATGTCACAAGAAGGAGGGTGCCTCTGGTTTCCGTGAAGGAAAAGGTCTTCAGTGGCTGAACATTTTGGAAATCTTTGTTTCCTGGCAGCAGGAAAGTATATGTGGATTTTTCCACTTGCCCCACCTGTCTCTCCAGCTGTTTGTCATCTCCCTTTCCAGCGCAAGAGGAACAGTTCCCTTTTCCCTTGTTACTGCTTTTCCTCCTTTTCCTCCGCAATTCTCTATTCACTGTTCTTTGCATCTGAGGCTGCTGTGGTAAGGAATATGCAGCAAGAGGCCAATGATCACTGTGGGACAAGTGAGGCAGCAAGAGCCCCCAAAAAATGAACTCGCTCCCCCTGCTGTCGTGGAAAGTGGAAGCAAGTGGAAAACGCTGCTACAGAACAGGGTCATTTTTTTTTTTTTCAGCAGAAAATCCTCATTCTCTACTAGCCCCCTTCCTTCTGTCCCTGATTTTTCTGCCCTCACAGTTGCAGGGCAGTTGCATAATTAAAACAACATTCGTTGGGGACAGAGAGAAGATAGGCTTGGGATGCAGGAAGTAAATCTTTGGGGAGATCTCAAAGGTTGCTTTCATCGATCGCCAGTTATTGCTAGGGGCTCGCAGCCTGTAGATGACAGTGCAAATACGGCAAGTCACAGTTGATAAGGCTCCAAAAAGCTTTCACATTCACTTTCATCTTATTCCAGGAATGTGTCTGGGATTGTATATAGAAGCTCATCCACTTAGTTTTCAGAAACTGAGAAGCAAAACCAAATTAAGCTAGTCTGACAGATAAATCGCTGAGGAGAGGTGAAAACACTATCCTAATCATCGACCCTAAGAACAAAAGCAGAAACTTTCCCAGAGCTTCAGCATCTTGCCTAGGCTAGAATTGCTCATATTTTAGCTGTTTAGACTCTAGCGTATCTTTACTTAGGATACACCATTTTTTGGTTTTTTAAAGCTTATCATCTTAGCACATTTTCACAGGGAAAGTTAAACTGGATTTGAAAAAAAAAACCAACAAAAAGAAAACACTTTGGAGGAGACAGTTGACACTTGAAACCATTGTTAATTTACAGGCTTGTGTTTAGAAGCTGCTGAACTGTTTCACTTCAAAGTTAATAAATAAAATGTTAAACTCACTTCTCGTAGATGCGAAGAAAATATATGCAAAGATACTTAGAAGAGGAATTTGTCAAAAGAAACACTTAATGACTTTACAATAAACAGTACTTTCAGCTGAACTATTAAAATAGGTGATTTATCACACTTTTTGGTGGTTAGCTTAGCTGCATAGTAATTTTAGAGAATGCACAAGGTCAAGGCTTTGCGCACATTTTACCTCTGAGAATGCTCTTGGTAGCAGCTCCCAGCCTTGTTCCAGTTTAAATACTGCTACAAAATCGCCTGGCATACAGTTGTGACATCCGTAACACAGTTTGGAAAGGGTTAGAGTAACACCAAGAGCTCAGTTTTGCTTGGGTATGTGACCTGTTAGATCAATGGGCGATGCTGTAGCAAACTAAGTAATACATCATCACACTAAGAAATCAAGGCAGTAACGTGTCATACTTTTATTTTCATCAGTTTCCTTTTGTGTGTCTGTTCTGGAAGAGTATGTGCCCTGGAGTGTGATCAGTCTGGTTTGAAGACTTTTATCAAGAGATCGCCTCTGTTCATCTTGCTTGTCAGGTGTCACACAAAAATACACCTCCTGGCAGCTCAGTTCTCCTCATAGTAGCCTCTTACATAAAATACAAGATTTCCTTTCAGCTGGAATGGAAACTGTGGTTTGGATTAGGAAAATCCTTACACTTACGAGGAGAGAATTTCAGGCATTTCTGTTTGTTTTACTTTTGCTGATTTTAGGGTCAAGGCAGAATTTGAAATCCCCTTATCGAGCCTGTAAAACATTAAATTGCTGTAATGTTAAGCATACTATTAACGATGTCAAAGAAGCCATTTTCCATAAGACTGGTGCAGTCCAATATTGCTTGTACCGAGGCATGTTTGGCAGCTTGCCTCAACAAAAACTGAATCAGAGCCAAAGTGCCTCTTTCAATTGGCTGCGTGCTTTTATTATAACCTTGTAAAGAATGACTTGCAAAATAATTAATAAAAACACACCTTATCATCTCTGCAGTTCTTTAATGACCGTGAATACTTTAAAAAAGAGGCTTACATGACTATTCCTGTTCACGAAATGGGAAGGAGGAAACATGAAAAGGCACAGTGACTTGTCCCACACATCAGCACTGCTGGGAATGGAAACCGTATCTTCTCTGACTTGGAAAGGACAAACCTACCCGTTTGGCCTTGAACAAGCGCCTAGCTGTGGGTTGGTTTGGCACTGGGGAAACGGGTTAAGGCTGCTAATTTTGGTGGTGCGGACATTTTATGATCATTTTAAGTCATAAAGCAAACTACAACCCCTGTCCTGTTTACAGTAGACCATCATTTTGAAGACAGTAAGTTGCATCAGTTGCAATTTGTGAACATGAGACAACACCTCGGTGTTTGACCTTTACTTGATGAATGACAGTAGGGTCAAAAGACCACAGAAAAACAATGATACCAGTGCCAGTCAGTCTTGGAAAGGAAAGTTTTTTTCCTCTGTATAACTTTAATTATAGCAAAAATGCACCATTTGAACTGCAAATTGTTTTCAAAAATCTTTGTTTGAAAGCCAGGGAGTTTTCTGGAAGATGTGTTTACTGTGTGTTTCAAAAATATCAGTTGTCTCTGGTTACTGATTTGGTATTATTCTTACTAGCAGAACTGTCAGCAGGAGGGGCTAGCGAGGGGACAAAGGAAGATGTTTCATGGGTGTTAACAGTTTTTGAGGGAAAAATCAGGACGTAACGGAGCCAAACCACATCTGTAAGAAACTTGCTAATTTTACTGTTTTTAAGCACTGTAGCCCGAACTGATTAAACACTGTTTTACTTCGAAGGGACTGTTACACATACATTCATGTTCTTTTTCACAGGCCTTCATACTTTTTTCCACACAATGAATGACGCAGCCTCATTTTCAACAGCAGCGCCTTCATAGAATCATAGACTCATTTAGGTTGGAAAAGACCTTTAAGATCACCAAGTCCAACCGTTAACCTAACCCCGCCATCCCACCACTAAACCATGTCCCTAAGCACCTC